ATTCCCCGAGTCGATACTTGGGGAATTTCAAGAAGAATGCAGGGTCCCTGGCCTATCCCACTCCCCATGCCCCCTCCCTCTTGGTACCCCTGCCCCTGGCCACCATTGGCAGTGGTGGCCTCCAGGGCCATTTGCCCAGTGCCGGCCACACGCCACATGCCTCAGGCTATGCAGCCTGGGATCACAGGCGCTGATGTACCCGGTGCTGCCGCAGCAGGGACAATAAGCTTTGCGTGCCATGGCCGTCTGTTCGATGGCCTCCCCCAGCAAGGGCAGGGGTGGCTGCATCTGTCCTTGCTCCTTTAGTGGGGTCCTGGCAGGAGAAAGAAAGGCCTGTCGGCCTCACGGGCACTCCTGGACATGAGTGAATTCAAGTAGCCAAATGTCTCGGCAGGGTTGAAATCCCGCACAGCAGCTCCAAGAGGAAGGAGAGACTGGAGCTGGCCCAGGAAGACGAGCTCTTGGGGAGCAGGGTGGAGGGGGACTTGGCGTGGGATTTAAAAGTTCTGTTCCAGTTTAATGGAAATGTGACCCAGCTGTCCCTTACACAGAGGACAGGAACGTGGGACAGATGAGGCAGGGCACAGACAGTGAGGATGTTTGAGGGCACAGGACAGAGAGCATTGGACAGCAAGCCCAGGCTCTGTCCCTGGCTGGCTCAGCCCCTAGAAGCCTTTGCGCTGTGTTCCACAGTGTAACCACCTCGTCTGCAAAGTCTAGGTGCCAAGCAGGAGGCTACTCAAAGACCATCCATTCTGGGCTGCTGTGCTGTCTGCCCCCTTCCTAAAGGTCTTAGCCTGAGGTCAGGTGTGCCTCACACAAGCACAGACATCACACACTCAGCTGAATGTCCCAGTACATCTGAGGTCAGACTCGAAGAAGTCCATTTATGTTTGTCTTTCCAGTAACGTGTTATAGAGCTCTTTGAATGGGGGCTTTCAAAGACCTGACACAACCCTGCACTGTAGGCTCACTACAGATAACATTTGGTTTAGGGACTTTTTTTGTTTGTCTTGTTTTGTGGCAGTGGGAATTGAATTCAGAGTCTTTGCACTGTGCTACATCCATATCTCCTTTTATTTTTATTTTGAGACATTCATTTAGGAAAATGTCCACCCTGACTTCGAACTCTTAACTCTCCTGCCTCAGCCTCCCAGAGTGCTGGGCTGACAGGTGTGTGCCACCACACCCAGCTAGGTGATACTTGCTGATGGGACCAATCTGATGTTGCAAAGCATTGTCCTCAGGAAGGCGGCACAGGTGACGGAAACCCCAGTGGTGAGGATGGCTCCACCTGAGACTGGGTGTCTATGAAGTGGATTAATCACACGCAGCTAATCAGAAGCCAAGCAGTTAAATGGAAAATTTAAACCTGTGGGTTTTTATCAAACTCTGCAATGTACTTATTCTAAGACAGGAACAGGCGCTAAGGGCCCCTCCAGCACTAGTCCATCTGGTGTATCAGATGCAGGTCCCTCTGGGGACCCCAAAACTGAGACTACTCGGTGGAACTTTGTCTGGCACCTCCTGATCACTCCTGCAGCTCCCAGACCCTCTGGGTGCTGCCTTCAGGGTCCCCCCACTGTGGGAAGCTCCTGGTGGGTGAGGCCCACATCCAGTTTGGCCCTTCTGTGTCCTCACAGCCTTGTATGAAAAGTGCACTTAGTCCTGTGAGCTAGGAGCCTGATGGCCTTGATGGCTTCTCTTAGCTGTGACAGGACCACCGCCTGGTGCCCGGGAACACAAGCAGTGCTTAAGAACCAGGCCAGGCGGGTCCTGAGCTCAGCTCTCACACAAGGCCACCAGCCACTGCCTCTCCTGTGGGACCAGAGAGGAGCCCCAGGGAACCGACCTCACAGAGTCCCCAGCATCTGCCATCAGTGATGAAGCGGCCATGAGAAAGGAGACAGATGAGTTACACTCTCCCTGACAGTGTGGAAGGAGGACAGGGGAAGCCACAGCCATGGTGACGAATCAGCTGTAAATGCAGGACTCTGGGCTGCTAGGACACAAAGAATAGCCAGGAATAGCCAGGCAGCAGCCACCATGTGCCCAAGCACCTCATCATCCAGCCCTGTTCCTGCCCACGATGAGGGGAATGGACCCATTAGCCATGCTGACATGTGGGGAAACTGAGTCACAAGGACCCATCCAGAGTCCACGACAAGCAGGCCAGCAGAGTGCAGGGTGAATCCAGAACCCCTGATCTCTGCACCACACGCTCTCACAGGGAGCCACAGCGAGCAGAGCATGGCAAGGAGGGCTCACGAGCCCTGCGGTGTCTGTGCAGGAGACCCGGGGCCTGGCAGGAGGGCCCCAGTTGCCACTGTGGTGCCCCTGTCCAGCCGAGGTCTGCTGCTGCCTATTGGTTTACTCCGCACTAAGCTGAGGAACCAGAACCATGCCCAGGCAAACCCCTCCTCCAAGGCCTCGACCCGCCAGGGGACGCACACAGCTGGGTTCTTCACTCTGTCTACAGGCTCTTCTGAGTGGCTCTGGGCTAGTTTCTCAGCCTCTCTGTGCCTGGATTTCTTCATCTGCGACATGGGAATAAAAGTAGTACCAAATTCCCAGGCTGGTTCAGAGAATTCACCTGCCACCATCTCCCAAAAAAACCACAGCAACTTTCCTTGGCATTTGTGCTGAGTACTGGGCTGAGATTCATATTTTCATGTCATTTAATACCCTTAGACAGCTTGAGTTGCTATGACCAAACACCATAGGCTGGTTTGCTTAAAAAACAGACATTTAATGTCACAGCTCCGGACCTTGGCAGGCCAGAATCCAGGTGCCCGCTGACTTCATTTCCCAAGAGGGCTCTCTTCCTGCCTTCTCACCGATCCGCAGGGTCATTGCCAGTGTTTGAACCCAGGGAAGAGTGCGGAGATGGGATCAGGAGCAAGCTTTCTGGTACCTTCTCTTAGTGAGGACACCACTTCTATCCACCCTTACGACCTCATTTAACCTCAATTTCTTCCATAGATGCCTCGTCTCCAAATATAGCCACAGTATGCGTCTGGATTCACTGGATGGGTTTCAGGGTACATATGACCCTGAATCCAAAACATTTCCCAATAACTTCCTTAGGTGGGTAGCAGGTTTGTTGCTGAGGATGTGGAATGTTTCTCCTGGGTCACACAGCCCGCAGGTAGATGGTCACCCCGAAGGTCTACTTTCCAGGAAAGTGTCTTGGGCTGGCCACATGGTTGGGCACAGAATTCGCCAAGAGCCTCTCGAGGGCTAAGGCCTCCAGGAGGACAAAGGGGTTCTAGAGGGATAGGAGGTTCCAAGGAACCTCCCTCTTGCCTTAGATTCTTAGCCAAGTTGCATATAGCACCTTAAAAACCTGTTTTAATCATGAAAATACCTGTCTACCTAATTCATTCAACAAACACTCAGAGAATGCCTGCTGTCTACCCAGCATTATTTTTGATGGTAGGCTTTGATGTGGACAGAGAAGACATGGTCCTCACTCTCAGGTGACTTACAGTATTACTGAGGATTGAAAGTGGAGAGCAGTGGAGACACAGTATCCAATGTCTTGGTCTGTTTTCTGTTGCTGTGACAAAACACCTGAAACTAGTGACTTCTAAAGAACAGAGGTTTATATTGGCTCCTACTTCGGGGGGCTGGGAGGTCCGGGGGCACAGCTTTAGCACCTGCCCAGCTTTTGTGAAGGCCTCGTGTCACCTCAACGTGCAGCAGAAAGCAGAAGAGCAAACGGGCACAGATGGGAGAGACAGACCCCAAGAGGCAGCTGCCTCCCTAACAATTGCTCCTGAAGTAACTAATCTAGTTGCAGGAGAGTCAATCCAGCTACCCAAGAAAGGCATTAATCCCACTAAATGACCTGATCAGCTTCCCAAGGCCCCCCCTCCCAACACTGCCCCAACCGCTTTGAGTTTCAACATGAATTTCAGAGCCACACTGAACCATCACACCCAGCCTGGGGACTCCACAGGGCTCAGATGAGGAGACTTTGCTCACCCACCCCTAGTGGCTTCACTTTGCAGTGCTAACCTGAGTCCCAGCCCATAATCAAACCTATGCGGTAATCAAAATGGCCCTGCCATCACACGATCAGTTTGGCCATTAGAGCAGAGGTGAGCTTGCGGAGCCCTGTTGCCCTCTGGACAGGGCTCTTACAGAATGCTCACTGGCTGTGTGTCACTAAGGCTCATGGTGGACCCTGGAGAGATATTTGGGGACATCACAAAGAAAGGTCCTCCTAACAGGAAACCAGCTGACAGGTCACCAGCACAGTGACAAAAAGGCCCACGCTTCTGATCTTGGCAGCTCTTCTATGAGACGTGAAATCTAACTCATATCTTAGGCTCGACCTTGACATAGCCTGCTGAAGGTCGGCAAGCCCTCCTCCCCTCCCATCCTGAGCCAGAGAGGTGGGAAGAAAAAATCTGCTTATACCACCCAGGCCACGCCTGCCAAGTTCCCCTCAACACCCATTTCAAAAAAAGAAAAGAAAAGATGGAGTGAAAGGGAATTGGAAAAATGGAACCCCCTACATCCCAGAAATATTACTTTCATGAGCTGTATGAATTATTTAACAGACAGCTGAAAAGACAAAACTCAACAGAAGAATACAAAAACACAGCTCGCAGTGCAGACACCTTCCCCGAAGCCCATGACAATGAAATGTATTTTATGCCCCAGATCAACATGCCAGAGAAGGAGGCATCGGAGACAGATGCCCACCGGGATCATTAGCCCCTTATCTCTGAACCCCTTGCCACCAGCTTCCAGATCCCGAGCCTGGGCAGCCCAGGGGAAGAAAAGCTGAAAAGTGTGTATATTGTAAGTGTTGGTTAAACAACCCCACCGTATTCTTATTTGCTGGAGGTTTTAGGGAGCAGATGTAGAACTGGCAGGGCTTGGAGCTGGCGATATTGTTCTAGCTCACTCCCAGCCAACACGGAAAGGAAAAAAGCCACACATGCAAACACAAAAAGCTGCATTTGGTGCTCGCGCCTGGGAGTGCATACTTGCGGCTGCGCCATCGCCTGGTCCAAGGCTCCTTGGAGTCGAGCTGACCGCTGCAAAACCAGCCTTGGGGCCTGGCCAAGAGAAATCGGACTTCTCCCAGAATCTGTGCGCGAGGGCGTCTCTGCAAGGCTCCCCGCCTACGGACACAAGGGGGCTGGGACGGCGATGAGCCCACCGCAGGCTGTGCATATCGGTTGCTAGAGAAAGGGCAAACAAATGGAGAACCAACCATACAGGCGGCCAGCAGCAGACAGGCAGCACTGCAGCTGCCAGGCAATAACTTAGATAGTTACAGCTGCCATCACCTAGTTCATGCAAGCTTTTTAATATCTTTTGGCAGCTCTCAGTGTCACAGCACAAAGGGAGAGTTGGCACTTCGCAGCACACTTTGTTTGACATAACTGTAGGCAGGACCCAGCTGATACCTTCAGTAATGTGCATGGCTTTGCTCTTAAGGTGCGTTTTTAGCAGATCGAACCAGAGAGGTTTTTTGCTCCCACCTCTCTCTCCCCTCCTGCCACCTCCTCTGTGTGCATTCAGAGCGTGCAACATCCCTAAATCACTTGTTGGGAACCAGACCAGATTAATGGAAGGCTCAGTGGGTGCCCAGCATAAGGTTGGCCCCATAAGCACCCAGCTAAGAAGGGGAGGGAAGCAATTCACAGAAGACAGAGAGCAGAGAAAGGAAGGGGAAACGAGGAAAGCAAACTGGTGTGCTCCAGAACTCATCCCCAGCCACACAGACTCAGCCCCTGCTTCTTCCCCTGGGTCTACAGAGTTTTAACTAAACCACAGCGCTGCCATCTTGCTTCCTGCTCCTTGCCTGTAAGTTATTCATCCCTTGTCTGCACACCTTCTCCTCATCGCACAGGAACCCAGCTGGCCCCAGGTACTCCCTGCCCTATTGTGACTCTTCCGAGGGCCAATAGCTCAGGAAGCAGCTTGCACAAGCACCTCCCTGGCACAGGGCGTTGGCATGGCCATTTTCTGTGATCCCTCTGCCAAGCTAGGCATCCTTGCTTGGGGGATCCAGGAGTCTTGCTGGGGATGGAAATGGTCTTCTCAAAGACCCCTGGCACAGATGGGCATGAAGAGAGCTTACAGGCATTGAAGGAGCAGAAGGTGAATGGGGCGGGGAGACAGAGGGGCAGTGGGCAGACATTCTGCCCAGGCTGAGGGGTAGGTAGGTGCCAGAGACTCTTGGGCAAGGAGGGGGACTGTCACTCTTCTAGTCTACATGCCCAGGCCTTCTGCCCATGCATACTTCATGGTGCTTCTCCCCAGGCAGTGGTTCTGGCTGCCTGCAAGATGGAGTTACCTGAAAGACATCAAAAAAAAGTCTTGGAGATCATCAAAAATGACCATGGGCTCCTGTATCAGTCAGCTCTCCATTGCTATAACAAGTCTCTGAGATAATCACCTTATAAAAAGAAAAAGTTTCCTTTAGATCTCAGTGTTGAAAGTTTGCCCATAATCAGTTGGCCCTGTCTGTATTGGGCCTGTCACAGAACAGCATGTCATGGGTGGAGCATGTGGCAGAACAAAACCACTCACCTCATGGCTTGGAACCAAAAAGACAAAAAGAAGAGGTTAGGGTCCCAGGATTCCCTTCAAAGCCACGCTCCCAGTGACCTACAGACATCCCACAAGGGACCAGTGTCTTCAGGTCTCCAGCACTGCTCAGTGGTCCCTCACTGGGTGCTGAGCCTCTGACACACAGGCGCGACCAGTGACAATGGCTGCTGTTGGATGCCTGTTCAGCTGCTGGAGCTGCTGGGACAAAGAACCCACAGTCAGAGACTTAGATGGCGGATACTTACGTCCCTCAGTCATGGACGCTGGAGTCTGAGGTCAAGGTATCAGCAAAGCTGATTCTTCCCAGGGGTTCCCAGGTAGAACCTCCCTAACTTCCAGTGGGTTTCTGGAAACTTTTGTATTCTTTGTCTTACAGAGACCCCACTCCAGTCTCTGCCTTCATCCTAAACAGGGTTCTGTCTCTCTCTCTGTGTGTGTGTGTGTGTGTGTGTGTGTGTGTGTGTGTGTGTGTCCCAATTTCCTCTTTTCATAATGACACCAGTCATGCTGGATTAGGGGTCTCCCCATATCAGCACAAACTTCTCTTCACTAATTGCTTCTGTAATGACCCTGTCTCCAAATAAGGTCACAACTGAGGTTCAGGATCCCAACACACAGAATTAAGGGGGCACAAGTCAACCTGTACAGTTGGGCACCTACAACATGCATACCAGGCACCGTGCTGCCTACTTTTATTTCTAGACCTTTCCAGTCCTGAGACGTGGATGGCGTCAGCCTCAGCTCACAGACACTGCTGCACACCTCACCAGGCGCCCTCAGCTGGGAGGTGTCTTCTCTGAGTCTCACAAGCCCCGATGGACGGTGGCCTAGCATAGGGCCCCTGGGTCCCACAGGTCCAGCAGAGGGCCCTCCCTGAGCTGTGTTTCCTTGACAGTGACCATGGCAGGTGGTCCACAGGTGTGGTGCGGGAGGCAGGGTGTCTGCAGTGGCTCTATGTTCACACTGTCCATGCTTGACAAGACTCTGCACTTCTCCAGACCTTTAGAGGACACCAAGAGCCATGTGCCTCACTGTCATACATCATTTAGTACCCGGTACCCACTTAATATTTATTAAATAATAAAGTGGCGGTGAGGAGCCCGCTACATATTTGGGTGTGGTAACATCCGTTTCCTCCCTTCTTCACGGTGTCTCACCAAACTTCCGCTCGCTGGCGCCACTGCTCACTGCTCAAGGGTCACAGCTCACTGCTCTCCCAGAATGAGCCCAACACCAAAGCAATCCAGTAAGCAACGCTACCTGCCCAAACTGCCCAGGGTCTAAACAATAAATACGTAGCACTTAGCTGACCCCTCCCGCCATACCAGGCAGTCTTCTGACTGTATTAATTATACTATGTGCCAGCAATCTCATCTAAACCGCCCAGCAGTTCGGTAAGGGAAATCACCATCCATTCCACTTCACAGAGGAGGAAACTGAGGACAAGGAGCTGTAACTCCTCAAAGCTGAGTACTCCAGAGCTCTGCTTTTCTTTTATCAACTCCAGTTTTCCTCTTCAGAGAGAGATCTAAATTAGGGAAAATGATAGTCCTGGTTGTCTTGCAGGAGCTGCACGTTTGCCAGCTTTCAACAGCACACTTCCATCTGCCCCAGGTGACAACGCACCAGGTCCCCAGTGAGGCTCTGCGGAGCTGCCCTGTGCACAGCTGAGGACGGAGTTCTTTCAGGGGCACAAACTCTGCTCCCACTGTCGTAATCTCATCACTCTTTATTTCTCAAATGCTTCTCTGGGTGCTGTAAAGTGCGGATCAGTAAACCAAATGCTGGTTTCTTTGTAGAAAGTCCAAGTGAGCGAGGTTCCCTGGTTTTTCAAGATCCACGGAGATTCCCTGTGGCCAAAGGTGGAGTCTCACCTTGCAGGTAAGCACCTCCTTCTATCCCAGACCTTTTCCTCCCAGATCAAGCAAGAGTAATTCTATTTCCTATTTCACTCCTCCCTGGAGCAAACGCAGCTTCTCTCAGCCCAGTGGTGCTGAGTGATTCCAGCAGTTTCCAAAACAAAATTACATGTAGCCCCAGCCTGAGAAATGTTCCACCTCCTGAACTGATGGCATTTACGATTACTATTCAATTATTATCATTCAAAACAAAGGAGGAAGATAAAACATTGGTTGGAGTTACTCCAGGACAGAAGGAACTGTAATGTCTAATAAAAACCATAATATTCCACAAATAGTATCAGAAAATGCAGAAAAATAATGACAGGGGACATTCTGCACCTTCCCCCAAAACAGATCACCTGAAATAATACAGCAGCTCTCAGTGTCCAGCAAACCAACACAGGGAACAACTTTTAGGGCACTCTTGCTTAAACCTCCAAAAAATAAAGCTTACACAGAGCGTCACCCAGAGCAGGACCTGCCCTTGAGTTCCCTTCCCTCTCTTGCAGCATTCTGTGGAGCTTGCTTATAAATTCTCCCCCTAGGGAAGAAAGATTATCACCTGAAGGAATTCTTCACTCTCCACTAGAAAATATCCAGTGACCCCACATTCAGAAAACCTTACTCTTCTACCAGGGACCTTGAACACCAGATTTCAATTGGAACCACTGTTCACCTCTCACTTGAAACATCAGGGGTATTGAAAGCCACTCACATTCCAAGATTGATCTTCTCAGAGGAGAACGTGGCAGGTCGGCTGTTGGATGACTTGTTGGGTCCCCCAGAGGAGGTGGTTATGAATGTCACACAGATGGAAACACATTCGTTCTTCACTGTGCCCCTCCTGTCCTGGTTGTCCCCGAGCCTGGAGCTTCCTGTGCTGATCTAGTAGAGACCTAACTCTGCGGGGTGGGGTGGAGGTGCTGACCTCTTTCTGTAGAAGGGCAAGTTCACTTTACCTACATCTGTCCCCAGAAAGAAAATAGAGAGAGCCAACCGGAGGCCCCCAGGGGACCAGTACACCTGTCTTCTTGTCCTCCCTCTTCCAAACCGCTCAGCCGATGACTTCCACCGCCAGTTTGGACTTAGGTAGACGGCCAGCTGAGGAGGGAAGAGTATGGGATCCAGGACAGTCTGCAGCAGCTCTGAAATGGGGTGCAAGACTGGGGGACCGAATCCTATTTTTTTAGTTCACAATAATTCGTGCATGGACTCAGGAAAAATCTCTCATCCTAGCATTCCTAACACTCCCAAAAATTGTTTTAAAAATGGAGACAACCTACATAGCTAACGATTGGTACATGTTGCTAAGTAAACCCAAGTTGCTGAGGACAATGTAATAAGTCACAATGCTGGACCGAGAAGAGTGACACATAGAAAAGGAATCTGCACAGCACTGTTTTGGACTCTACACAGAGTTTGAGGGCCGGAGACCTGCGGATGGCATAATGTTTGGCTGTGCACGGGATGCATCTACCTTCAGTTTAATCTCAGCTCCATAAACGAGGAAAACTTAGACAATACTCAGTATTGTTGTCTAACAGTATCCCCATCCCCGCCTTCCACTTCCAGATTTTCTGAGAACTTCACATACAGGCTTGCGCGTACACACAAGGACACATAGCCATTTGTCACAAGAGGAACCACCATGAACAATGTGGCTGGCTGCTGGCCACTATGGATTGTTCCAGGGTGGACATCTGACTCAAACCTGAGCAACTGTCTCCTTCTCCAGTAAGTCTGCAACTGGAACCGGAGAACTTTTTCCCTTCCCAGCAGGAAGG